TTCTTAAATTGGTGTACGCATCATTACATCACATATCTCACTTAAATAAGTAGTAAATGATGACTGATAATATTCTGTAGAACGTGTTTGAAAATGTCGCGATTTATTGAGAATCGCTTCTGACATCGTTAATGTACGTGATCGATTTTTCAAATACCATCCAATATATAGCCTTTGACATAGTGTGTGGTTTTCAATTAAAGACAAGGGAAACTATTCTATAGTCTTATTTAAGAACTTACATTCGATTATTTAGCACATTAATGGTACTTTAAAGGCAATGTAATTAATTGCAATGTACAGGAAACAATAAAATCCATTACAAAAGATGATCATTTCACTTCCCGGCGCTAAATTCACAAAACATTTCCAAAATATAGTTTTATTATATTAATGTACTTCTGCGTATACCAGAACATTTCTTAAGAAGATTTTCGCGTTTTGTTTTTGCACTATCATCAGACGTTTTGTTAACTGGACAATTATTAGCAGCATTTAATATTTTAATTTGGTTCCCCGACATTAAAAATTACCATTTTGTAGAAATAAAATCTATTAATCCTATATTATTTATTTATTATATTGCCATCCATGTACGGTTTTGAAAATTATGGGGTCTGATTTCGCCATTCTTCTTTCAGGCAAATTAATTTTATCTCCTTGGAAATATGATCCATCTGAAGCCAACACACATGTGCTAACGCTTGACCCACTTCTCCATGCATCCCTGGTAGGCTGACGAAGGGATGGCCTTTAGTTCCCTCGTCGCATTCTTTTTGATCTCCTCGATCGTCTGAAATCTCTTTCCACGAAGTGGCAACTTCAACTTGGGGAACAAAAAAAAGTCGCACTGGGCCATATCAGGTGAATACGGTGCTTGCTCGATGGTGTTTGGTAAAATAATTCAGTAAAATTCGGGCTCGGTGCGATGGCGCGTTATCATCATGCAAAATCCTAGAATTGTCGGCCCACATTTCCGGCCGTTTGCGACAGCATCATACAGCATCTCTCAAACGCTTCAAAACGGATAATTAATTTCTTTGTTAACTGTCTGGTCCGGTGGAAGGTACTCATAGTGCATTACGCCTTGGCAATCGAAGAAAACATTCAGCATCACCTTCACTTTTGAGCGGCCTTGACGCGGTTTTTTCGGTTTCGGCTCGTTTTCGAAACACCACTCGGAAGATTGTTGCTTTGTTTCCATGTCAAATTCATAGACCTATGTCTCGTCGCCCTTAATTTCATGAAGGTTGGATCACTTTGGGCTTCAGAAATCATCTATTCAGCAACTGTCTTTCGATGGTATTTTTACACGAAATTCAGGCCCTTCGGAACGAGCCTGGCTGCCACACTTCTCATACCCAAAACATCAACCACAATATGCTGTGCCTTTCTATATGCGATGCCAAGTTAACTAGACATCTCTGTCTTAAGTTGGTATGACGATTTTCAAGCACCATTTCTTTCACTTTCTTCACGTTTTCAGCGGTGTTCGACGTCGATGGGCGTCCGGAACGAGGCAAATCTTCCACCATTTAACGACCACTTTTAAAGTCTTTATACCACTCGTATGCTCTTGTTTTTGATAGAGCAGATTTTCAAAAAGCTTTTTGCAACATTTTCAGTGCATCGACACACGAAATTTCGTTCGAAACACAAAATTTCGTTCGAAACACAAAATTTCAAACAAACTCTTTGTTCAACAAAATTATTCCATGGTAAAATGCGACAAATTGAAAAAAAATACTGATATGAACAAATACCAGGCAGAAACCAATGATCGGATGGCACTAAAACCTGACAGATATACGTCTTAAGGTCGTACCAACATAAAAAAAACCGGTTCCCGCATGCACGGTACGTTCAAATAAGAAAATCCCGATACTTTTTGATCATAAGGTATGCCTTCCTTTACATATTTGAAAGTATACTCAATACAATGAGAAAAGATGGTAAGTATGTTTTAAATATTACTTACTAGTGGGACTAGAGTAAGTTTCTTTAATACAATTTTGCTGTGGATAAACATCTTCATCCATGGCATCTTGAAAATTGAAGATTGGTTTCTTCATCAAATTACTAGCCCCATTCAGAACGCTCAGATCTCAAACTGAAATAATAGTTACAGTTTCAATATGATTATTACTAGCATTAATAAATAATTAATCAAAGTAAGATACATACTTTCCACAGCTGTATTTTGAAGCTTTGGGACAGGGTCTTTGTCAAGTCCTTCTTTCTGTAACACAAAGTAAGATTGAATTGCTGACTGTGTTTTTGTGAGACGTATGGTTGGGATTGTAGGCCACAGCCAGATCCTCCCAAGCCTGCTTCTTTAATTCTATGTTTTTAGCGTTTGTACGTTTATCTTCAATGTTCAACTTTATTTTCTAGTATTTTGTATATACATGTCATATACAAAATACTAGAAAATAAAGTAAATACTTTAATAATAAATATATATTTTTTTAGATATGTGACCACAACTGTAAAATTCTGTCATTAAATGCTAAGTTTGGAGGTGCAGCCCATGATTCTTTTATATGGGAGAATAGTAACATCAACAGTTATATGCAACTACTACACAGAGACAATGAAACTTCAACAACACACAACAAACAAACCACAACAATTCACAATCCAAAGAGTACCATAATCATCGATGAAAACAAACTAGGCATGTCCAAATAAAATCAACTAATCGATTATTTAGAACAAAATAACCGATACGTAAACCTTTAAACGGATCAAATGGAGAGTTCTCTGGTAATAATGTTCTTAAATTGGTGTACGCATCATTACATCACATATCTCACTTAAATAAGTAGTAAATGATGACTGATAATATTCTGTAGAACGTGTTTGAAAATGTCGCGATTTATTGAGAATCGCTTCTGACATCGTTAATGTACGTGATCGATTTTTCAAATACCATCCAATATATAGCCTTTGACATAGTGTGTGGTTTTCAATTAAAGACAAGGGAAACTATTCTATAGTCTTATTTAAGAACTTACATTCGATTATTTAGCACATTAATGGTACTTTAAAGGCAATGTAATTAATTGCAATGTACAGGAAACAATAAAATCCATTACAAAAGATGATCATTTCACTTCCCGGCGCTAAATTCACAAAACATTTCCAAAATATAGTTTTATTATATTAATGTACTTCTGCGTATACCAGAACATTTCTTAAGAAGATTTTCGCGTTTTGTTTTTGCACTATCATCAGACGTTTTGTTAACTGGACAATTATTAGCAGCATTTAATATTTTAATTTGGTTCCCCGACATTAAAAATTACCATTTTGTAGAAATAAAATCTATTAATCCTATATTATTTATTTATTATATTGCCATCCATGTACGGTTTTGAAAATTATGGGGTCTGATTTCGCCATTCTTCTTTCAGGCAAATTAATTTTATCTCCTTGGAAATATGATCCATCTGAAGCCAACACACATGTGCTAACGCTTGACCCACTTCTCCATGCATCCCTGGTAGGCTGACGAAGGGATGGCCTTTAGTTCCCTCGTCGCATTCTTTTTGATCTCCTCGATCGTCTGAAATCTCTTTCCACGAAGTGGCAACTTCAACTTGGGGAACAAAAAAAAGTCGCACTGGGCCATATCAGGTGAATACGGTGCTTGCTCGATGGTGTTTGGTAAAATAATTCAGTAAAATTCGGGCTCGGTGCGATGGCGCGTTATCATCATGCAAAATCCTAGAATTGTCGGCCCACATTTCCGGCCGTTTGCGACAGCATCATACAGCATCTCTCAAACGCTTCAAAACGGATAATTAATTTCTTTGTTAACTGTCTGGTCCGGTGGAAGGTACTCATAGTGCATTACGCCTTGGCAATCGAAGAAAACATTCAGCATCACCTTCACTTTTGAGCGGCCTTGACGCGGTTTTTTCGGTTTCGGCTCGTTTTCGAAACACCACTCGGAAGATTGTTGCTTTGTTTCCATGTCAAATTCATAGACCTATGTCTCGTCGCCCTTAATTTCATGAAGGTTGGATCACTTTGGGCTTCAGAAATCATCTATTCAGCAACTGTCTTTCGATGGTATTTTTACACGAAATTCAGGCCCTTCGGAACGAGCCTGGCTGCCACACTTCTCATACCCAAAACATCAACCACAATATGCTGTGCCTTTCTATATGCGATGCCAAGTTAACTAGACATCTCTGTCTTAAGTTGGTATGACGATTTTCAAGCACCATTTCTTTCACTTTCTTCACGTTTTCAGCGGTGTTCGACGTCGATGGGCGTCCGGAACGAGGCAAATCTTCCACCATTTAACGACCACTTTTAAAGTCTTTATACCACTCGTATGCTCTTGTTTTTGATAGAGCAGATTTTCAAAAAGCTTTTTGCAACATTTTCAGTGCATCGACACACGAAATTTCGTTCGAAACACAAAATTTCGTTCGAAACACAAAATTTCAAACAAACTCTTTGTTCAACAAAATTATTCCATGGTAAAATGCGACAAATTGAAAAAAAATACTGATATGAACAAATACCAGGCAGAAACCAATGATCGGATGGCACTAAAACCTGACAGATATACGTCTTAAGGTCGTACCAACATAAAAAAAACCGGTTCCCGCATGCACGGTACGTTCAAATAAGAAAATCCCGATACTTTTTGATCATAAGGTATGCCTTCCTTTACATATTTGAAAGTATACTCAATACAATGAGAAAAGATGGTAAGTATGTTTTAAATATTACTTACTAGTGGGACTAGAGTAAGTTTCTTTAATACAATTTTGCTGTGGATAAACATCTTCATCCATGGCATCTTGAAAATTGAAGATTGGTTTCTTCATCAAATTACTAGCCCCATTCAGAACGCTCAGATCTCAAACTGAAATAATAGTTACAGTTTCAATATGATTATTACTAGCATTAATAAATAATTAATCAAAGTAAGATACATACTTTCCACAGCTGTATTTTGAAGCTTTGGGACAGGGTCTTTGTCAAGTCCTTCTTTCTGTAACACAAAGTAAGATTGAATTGCTGACTGTGTTTTTGTGAGACGTATGGTTGGGATTGTAGGCCACAGCCAGATCCTCCCAAGCCTGCTTCTTTAATTCTATGTTTTTAGCGTTTGTACGTTTATCTTCAATGTTCAACTTTATTTTCTAGTATTTTGTATATACATGTCATATACAAAATACTAGAAAATAAAGTAAATACTTTAATAATAAATATATATTTTTTTAGATATGTGACCACAACTGTAAAATTCTGTCATTAAATGCTAAGTTTGGAGGTGCAGCCCATGATTCTTTTATATGGGAGAATAGTAACATCAACAGTTATATGCAACTACTACACAGAGACAATGAAGTTGTCTGGCTTTTGGGTGAGACAATCATTAATTGTTATGTAGTTACTTCGTTCAATATTATATTATTTTGTTTTTTTTACATTTTTTTTAACAGGTGATTCCGGCTATCCTCAACGATCTTGGCTGATGACTCCCTATGTAAGCCCAACTCGGAACTATATTGAGGAGACCTTTAATGCAGTCCACACTTCTGCAAGAGTAGTCATTGAAAATACATTTGGGAGATTAAAGAACCGTTGGCGATGTTTACAAATGACGTTACATTATGCACCAGAAAAGTGTTCCAAGATTATAATAGTATGTACTCTTTTACATAACATTGCCTTGAAATATAACGTCCCTGATCCCGAGTACTCGCATTATATTATAAAAAAATACACTTGAAGATTTAAATTTTTTATTTTTATTCAATAACATCTACAATTCTATTCCCCCATTCTAAAAATTTACTAAATAAATCTAACCAACGCTGTTGATTACTTAATTCTAATTCTCTTAATCTAATTTTCTCCTGCTCTACTTCCAGCTGAAATGATCTCCATTCACAGTCAGATCTGACAAAGGCTTGCCTGGCCAAATGTGACTGTGTCTGGGTGCGAGCCCTTCTGTGGAGAGGAGACTGCGCTTGAATCAGACATCTTCGCCGCCGACGCGGCGTGGGCGATAGAGCTGTTGGACTCTGTTGCGTGCGAGGCCTGGCATTAGCAGTCCCTGTAACCACCGACTCGCCACTGGTGCGGCTCGTCACGTGGGTTTCGTTGGTGTCCACGGTAGCTCATAGAAAACAAAAATATACGAAAAATTGCTTAGTGACAATAACTACAAAAAGAATTAGACTCAGTGTCTGGGAGCTAATGGAAATTGATTAGAAGTAAATTAATTAACTTTATTAACAGAAACAAAGTCCTCTCTGCCCGCCTCTTCACTAGGCACGAGCAATGGTTGAGTATATCTCCGTGGTTTATTCCAGTCTCCTGCAACAAAAGACATTTGTATTATTAAATATTTCCTAGAACTCAGTTTTTACTATAGCACTGTTATACCCCATTGGTTCTTAGTATATTTTATTTCCATGTCTGTGACAATCATTGCAATTTGAACCTTATACTGTAGATTGTAAAGTGGTAATTCATATTACATCTTGCATTTTTTTGCTATTAATGCATTTCATTTTGTACAGGTCATAAGTGGTTGTTGAGTTTAACGAAAGGATCGCAATGCTATCCATCACAGATAAGAACTTAAGTGGAAACCTTTTTAAACAAGGTTTTATACTTACTGGAACTAGTCTGTTGTTGAACAACTTCATGTATTTCAAATATTGAAGGGCTCTCATTCATTTCTGGCTCTACATCATCCTGTAATTTTTAATAATTTCTTAATTCTCTAAGTTATGAAATTACAGTATATTTGATTGTGGCCTCATTTTTAGAACTACGTTTAAAGTGGACAAACCCTCTATCATCGCAATAGGTGATGGAAAAACTTAACATACCTTTTTTTCCTGATCCCAACAAGGAAGATCAATCCTAAACGGAGGACCACAGGGACCATGGATCATATGATCCAGTACGGCTTTGCGTAATCTACCCTCTGCTTCGATAGAAGCAGGAAGGTCGTCTCTAACAAACTGATCTATGTCTACCTTTTTAACGGGATCACCACCTTCTCTAAAGCAAATGTGGGCATAAGTTTGTCCTCGTTTATGGAATTCAGTGACATGCATAATATACATGCACCTTCCGAATCATTTACCAGAGCGGAAATCTTTTAACAATTGAGATAACTATAACTTAAACACTCTAACACAAAGCAAAGGATGAGGTCTTTGTCCGACAGGGGTGGACTGTTGGATTTCTGGCTACTCGGGATTACGAACGATAGTTAGAAAATATGACGGAGGACCTTATCTATTAACTAAAGCGACAGAATCCATATATTTTTACTTCATAAAACGTGGTCATCAAGTGAACGTGTTCGGCAAGTTAACACGTCCAGGCACAACGCCACCTTCCCCAAATATGGTTACATCTTCGTTGATTTGTCGCGAGACATCTACATTATCCTCAATGTTCTGGAATGGAGGAGTCCAGCGGAATTAGGTGATCTACTCTGTAACCTACTGATATACCCAAGCCTTGCCTCCGATATTCTACTTAACATGTCTATTATCCACTCCTCAGAATATCGGCCTAATTCAGAAAATCAAGGTTCCGAAAGTAAAAGACACTGAACGTATTTATTTTGCGTTAATTTATTACTTTTATTATCTAATTAACTGGGAAACTATCCAGGGTTACTATGAGGATAGAGTAAAGGAAATTGGAAACTTTCTTCTTCACAGCCTCTCGGTTTACCACTGGATTATGTTTTCTAAGTAAAAACACTCAAATTTTTATTTTCAAGACGGCACATTCTATCTTCTAAAATTTAATTTTTCGCAATGACGACAACAGGGAGCATACCGAGTTTGCGATGATTCGAAAAACTGTCATTATTTACAGCGACTTTGATATCCTCCCTTTTTTTCACGGGTCCGACCTACTTTTCTTGATTTATTTAAAATATTGATATCTAATCTTTCTAATTTAACTATTGGTTGCAATACCAATTTGGGTTACCAATATAGGTTGTTCGATTTTTTTCGCGTCTCTAGGAGATTCATGTCTCTAGCTTCCAACTGCTGTCGTCAACGGGTTTTATTTTAGCGAAACGGTTCCCTACAGGAATATCGGTAGGCAATTCTTTGGGAAATAGAAGTCTACTTGGACCAGGAGAAATAATGTATATTTACAGTGAATCTCCATGTTTTAAAATATCGTTAATATTTGAAGTAGAAAAAGGCCGTCTATCATTTACCACCGAAAAAGTACATGCACAAGCCGACAAGGCAACACATGAGACCTTCGCCTTAAAAACGGCTATGGCCCTGATGTGTGGATCCTAAAAGAAAAATTATACTTAATTTTTTGCTTATCAGCACGCAAAAGCATAATACAGTGGACCCTCGATTTAACGCGCCTTTAGGCGGTGAGCATGACCCGCGTTATAAGGTAAACCGCGTTATATCGAGATACGTAGCTGCCGCGATGGCGATGGCAACCCAGTTACTTATATACATATATAGTAAAATAAAACGAATGTATTTATTCATAAATTTGTATTTATTTATCAAACACTGTTGCACCTACATACTGTATTAAACATTAACATACAATATGACATAATATACAATAAAAAATCAAACTGAAATGGTAAAATGACCATAAATCACTTGAAATATTTTCTTTAGATGTCAATTGCAAATATCTTACGCTGTTATTGCTTCTGTTAATGTTGGTACGTCAGCTTTGATACTCGCACTTTCTGTATCGTCGTCTATATCGTCTTGGCCCTTTTCATTGCCGCAAACAGATTCAGTTATCATCAGATCAGCCATTTTTTCACATATATCTTCTACAGAATCCACATATAACCATTGAGTTAAAATATCGTTTGTTAAATCCGGCTCATCTAATATTTCCCGAATTCTGGAAACTTCAGTATCAGTAAATATCTTATCTGAATCTGTAGCATCTGAATGTGATGGGAGATTATCAAGATCCATACGATCTTTAGGTTCATTCAATTTTTTCCAGCAGTTTCTAATAGTGACGGAAGTTATAGCCTGCCAGGCAAGTCCAATACTATAGGCCACATCTTTGAGATCCATCTTTTTTAAAAAAAACACTAACTTCTGTGTCTGACGCTAATAATGACGTAATCCTTTCTCTTCTATAATTTGATTTGAAAGCACTAATTATGCCTTGGTCTAAGGGTTGTACTAGAGCAGTAGTATTTTTTGGTAGATATATTTCTTTTAACTTGCCATAATTGGACATAAGGTTGTCAGCCGGTGGATGAGATGGGCAATTTTTGTACAGTGGGAACAAATGAAGAATGAAACCAATCATAAAATATATTAGCTGTCATCCAAGCATTTGCACTGTTTCTACACTGGACCGCAAAGAAAACGGGTCGGTTAGAAAATCTTCAATAACTTGAAAACTACCTCACCTAGCTTTATGAAATAAAAACTCAATTAAAGAATATTTAATGTTATTTAACATAGTATATAAAACCTTTTTATTTACTTTAGATAATTGTGTAAGAAAACTGGCAATGAAGATAATGGTTGTTTTTCAATTTAGTTCTAAAAAAATCAAAGCATTTGTTTCGCATTTGTTTTAGTTTTGACATAAAAACTACAATAAATATCGTGTGTTTGTCATACAAAAATTGTATTCTGAAGTCATCATGTCGTTAACCCCTGAAGAATGCACCAGGATCCTGACAATGCTTGAAGATGGGCGCAGTCAGCGCAATACAGCGAGAACTGTTGGTGTGAGTCTTTCCACAGTTCAGCGGGTACTCCAGCGTTTCCATGAAACTGGATCCAACCTAAGAAGACCAGGAACAGGCCGAACGAGGTGCACGACTACGCGGAAGGATCGCTATATGGTGTCAACAATTTTGAGAAATCGATTTCTTACGGCCGTTGAGGTAAAAAATCACCATTTACGAGCTGGAGGAAACTATCTGAGTACAGATACAGTAAGGCGACGTCTGGCTGAAGCAAATTTGAGACCATTAAGGCCTGCAAATGGCCCAAAATTAGAAAGACACCACTTAAACTCAAGGCTGAGTTATAGCAGAGAACACGAAACTTGGACTCTGGATGACTGGTCAAGAGTTATGTTTTCAGACGAGTCTAGATTCTGTTTATACAAGCACGATGGGAGGAAAAGAGTGTACCGAAGACCGGGAGAGCGCTATAACCAAGCTTGTATAGAAGAAAAAGTACCATATGGCGGTGGCTCTATACACGTGTGGGTTGGGATTTCTTCCGAAAGCCGTACTGAGCTAGTAGTGATAGAAAATGGCAGTTTAACAGCAGAACGATATGTGAATGAAATTCTTAATGACTATGTTGGTCCATTTTTAGTAGATATGGGCGAAAATGCTGTTTTTATGCAAGACAACGCCCACCCGCATACAGCTCAGATAGTGTTCGACTATTTTCACGAAGTAGGTATCACATGCATGGAGTGGCCAGCACGAAGCCCCGACTTAAACCCCATCGAACATGCATGGGACGAACTGGGACGACGTGTACGTCAACGGAATCCGCCGCCAATCACGCTGCGTGAATTGAAAGGAGCTTTGATCGAGGAATGGCAGAACATTCCGCAGCATCGCCTTAAAAACCTTGTGGAAGGTATGCCGAATCGCATAGCCGCAGTTTTGCAAGCTCGTGGAGGCAACACGAAATACTAACATGCGTAAAAACGTCACATCTTTATACAATTCATATTTACGAAAATGTCAGAAAAACTACCTTTTTCATTCGTTTGACATTTATTGAAAATAGACAACTTTTAATTTGTATTTTTTTATATTCAATAAATTACAATTAAATAATCTTTAATTTAGTTTTTATTTCATAAAAATAAGTTAAGTAGTTTTCAAGATATTGACGATTTTCTAACCGACCCGTTTTTTTTGCGGTCCAGTGTATATTAAACTGGCAGGGATTTAATGTTGATTGATTTGAAACAACGTGGGTTTTGACTTTTACCAATGATCAGAGGTGTTAACTTGTGGTTACCCGCTTTATTTACACAAAATAATACTGTTATTCTTTCTTTGCTTGCTTTTAATCTCTTTTTCTGTGGGTTACTTTTTAGATCTAGGCTTTTACTTGGCAACAGTCTATAATATAGTGCAGTCTCATCACAGTTGTAAATTTGTACATAATTATGTTCTTCATTCTTAATGCAAATTGCCAATTGTTTAGGGAACTCAATTGCACTTGCAACATCACTGGACTTTGCTTCACCAGAAATGTTTACCTGGGAGGTGTCGTTTTTGCCAACGCCAAAACCAACCATCAGAGGCCTTAAAATTCCCTTCAAGGTTCAAGCTTGTGTGAAATTTTTCAGCTTGCAATTTTAATGCAGTTCCAGATATGGGAACACCTTCACTTCTTTTCTGCACAAACCATACATAGAGGAATCATCAACGTTTTGGTTTTTTCCCAGTCTTGCCTTTTTTCGAGTAAGCCCGGTCTCTTGGTCCAGTTTATCAACAAATGAGTTCAGTTTAGTTTCTTCTGCCTTCCAGCCCCGTATTGTTCCTTCGGGTATTCCATATTCCCTTCTTATGTTTGCTTTTGAGACCCCACTCTTTACTTTATTAATAATATCAAGCTTTTCTTTTACACTATATGCTTTTCTTTTATTCATAATGAATATAAAAGATAAGAAACAAAATAAATACAATAAGAGATTCACACAGTTAAAACTATACAATGATAATGAAAGTTAAATCACTGGTTTCTTCGCCTTGCGGCGGATTCGGGCCGAGCGGTTGCTCTTTCCCGGGCTTCCTCTCCGGGGCGACGGCCCCTTTGGTATTTGGGGTGCCTAATGCGGGCACATAGATGGAGGTTTGCCCTCGGCGCGGTCAGCCCACCCGGTGAGACCCCTTCGGGGGAGGCCGAGTGAGCGCCGAGCGTCAGAGCGTTGATGGTGGCCCGGACGTGGTCGACTATTGCTTTAAGCTCGACTATTACTGTGGACAGGAGCTTTTTGATTGAGGTGACATGGTGTTGGTAGGGGGAATCGTAGGGGGTTTGGTTGCGACCGTATGGACAGGGGACAAAGGGGACCGGGAAAAAGCTGGGGTCGTCCTTTGGATGTCGAGGTCTGGATGGCTGGCCTGAAGTCATCTGTGGGTGATGAAGCGGTGGTGGTGGTGGTGGCTCTCGAGGCCGGTCCCTTCCGGCCGGCCGGTTTGGTACTGGGTTGCGGTGTGGGCGTAGAGGCTGCTTCTGGGACTTCTTTTCTGGTCGCAGTGCGCCTCTTTCTTCTGCCTCTTCTTTTTCTTATGGATGTCGTTTGTCCTCTTATCGATGGAGGCTAGTGTAGTGGGCGTAATGGGGGCTTGAGTTGCGGCTGGCGTGATGGTGGGCCGCGTCGTGGTAGCTTTGATGATCGATGGTATGTGTGGAGGGATGCGAGTTCCTAGTCGTCTAGCTTCTTTTAGGAACATCTTGCATCTGCGGCTGTTGGCTGGGTGATCCAAACCACAGTTTGCGCAGGTAGCCGGTTGGTTTCGGTCACGTGGGCAGTTGGCTGGGAAGTGGTCGCTGGCACATCTGACGCACTTCTTCGGGCGGTGGCAATTGGCAGAGTTATGACCGAAGGCCTGGCATCTGTGGCATTGGGCGGGTCCTTTCTTAGATTTCCACACTTCGATGACGATGCCGGGCATGTTCAGTAGAACCTCTGTTTCGTATAGGCGTTGTAGAGATTGGCGGTCCATGGGTTTCAGGGACATGAAACAGTGAATGAAACCGATGAAGAAGTAAATCCCAATTCCTCAAGGGCTACGATGATGTTGTGGGTAGGGGTATCCGCTGGAAGTCCTTTAATGGCTATCTTGAGTGGAAGCTCATTTTGTAGGGAATATGAGTACCATACAATGTGGGCTTCTTTTTCCGCTTTCATGAGGTATTCGTGGATCATAAGGTATTCCCTTTGGGATTTTGGGAGAAATCTGATCCCCTTGCCGAAAGGACAGGCATTCGGGGAGAAACCTAGAAGGTTCTTTAGTTTTAGGAAATGTTCTGTCCAATTGGGAAGGGACTCCGCGACTATTGGCGGGAATCCCTTGGTTTCTTGGGTTCTGGTCTTGTCTGGGAGCGGCGGCGTATAGGATTTAGGCGCGCTAGGTTGCACTGTCATCTGCGCGTACGTCCGGCTGTCCGATAGGCGCGGGATGGTGGCGTAAGATGTGGAATCGTGGTCGTGTTCATCGCCTTCTTCTTTGGATTGAGGGCGTGATGGTTGCGAAAGGTTGGAATCTTCGGAGAGGTAGTCATCATCCGTGTCTAGTATGGTGTGGTGAGGTGAGGTGCCGATACAGGGACGTTTCTCGTCGCCTCCTACGATGTCGTGCGAGTCGTCCAAGTCTCGTTCCATCCTGCGTCGACGTGGGTCAAGAGGGTGCAGCTTCTTGTAAGGAGGGATGGGAGAATCTGGTTCCGCAGAAACCGTTCTCGGACTCCCTTTACTAGAGATGGTATTTGCGCCTACGTTCCTAGGAGCTGGTGTCGGAATTCGGCCGCGATCAGGCGGGTTGTTCGGTGGTGGTTCCATATTTGATCCGTTTCTTTATTGATGAATGCAGGTTGGTTTGACGGCAACTTGGGGGTGGATAACACGATTTTGTATAACTAAAAAATCCACAAACAACACAAAGGTTACAACACAGATGGTGTCTCTATCGCGGATTCACTGCAATCCTTGGGTTGCTGGAGGGGGTCACTCGCGGCGACGCGAGTGACACTGACGAGTGTCCGAGGAACTTCGGGACGTAAGGTGGGGCTCGACGAAGCTAGGAGCAACGGAGCGCGCACGACCTCTCGCTACGAAAACTCAGGAAAAACCTGAAGGTTAAAATGAGCTCGCGGGGCTTAAATACTATCTCCAGGCAAACCTGTATATACATGTTTCAACCCGTTCTTAGTTCTTACGCGCGAAACAGTGGGCGATTAGTAGCACCCACGTTATAACCGAATGCGCGGTATAAGGAGCAGCAGTATAACGAGGGTCCACTGTAATACAATAATTGGTGCGCAATGTTTCAGATCGAATATTGATCTTATCTATACTATATTGTAAGAATATATAAAAATATACTGTAATATTGTAAGATGAAAATAAAAAAAAAACCAGAAATAATATTTCAAAAATTGTTAAAACTCAGATAATGTGGGAATATTTCTTATATTTCTTTCTAAATGAAAACCCTTATAAGTGTAGGAATCTACTTTTTTGACAAAATGTTAATCAATAAAGTGTCCCAAAATTCAATAGGCTGATTTGAATTTTTAAGTTCAGCTAAATGCAAATTTACTGTGCTTATAAGCGTTTTTAAATTATCATTATTAGTACACTTTGAAAAAGCTGATGATAATTTACAATTTTTGGTATGTTATTGTGTCTGTCATTAAGAAGCTCAAGAGCAACTTTATAATTTTCACCTACTATAGGCCTTTTTTTTTATTAGATCCTGCTTTCTGCAATAATGAACGCATATAATATAGCTTTTCACATGGACTTAACTTTGATCTTTATCAATTACTGATGATATTTATAATATTTATAAAGGATAAAAATCTATTATATTTTTCCCATCATAAGGCTGCAAATTAATTTTACCTAAATTACTGAAATCTCTCTTGGGAGCTATTTCAATAACAGAATTGTATCTCTCTTGGGAGCTATTTCAACAACAGAATTGTTTAAATACCTATCTTAAATTGATTTACTATTGAAGTTCTTACTCTCATAAGTTTCATAGTCTTCTTTATCAACGGGATAAGACGCTAGTATTTCCAAGTTTAATTTTTCATATTCTTGATATGCCTCCACAAGGCGCGCTCGCCTTTCGTCAAGAGTTTCATAAGTATATTCACTAAATTTATTAGATTTTGTAAAGCTGTTATTACGCGTAGTAATACCTTTATTATATTCCCGATTAGATATAAGTTTCGATATATTCACAGACTGAGATGATAATTTTATCTAGAATATCAACCTTTAGGGGGTTTAGTTTCGTCGTTCCAATTTGATTAGCGATGAAATGTCCCCTGGTTTTATTTTGTATACGGTGTTCGTGTAAGTTTTCGGATATAAATAACGAGACAACGACTTACAGTTCTGGCGTTTATTTTTCATGCGTAACAAGTAACATATACACTACACAATTACACAGAAAGAGTATTTTTACGCACAAGCACAAGACAGTCAATATAGCCACATAAAGCACAAAATACAGACATAAAATTGTTCATCTGAATTTAGAAAGCGAGAGGTCGTTTCTACGAGATTAAACTCAATTGCTAAGCTACAAGCGCTCCGCGTCGTAGTATAGTCTCGACTGGTGGTACACGTGAGCTGCGCGGGCGCATCGGCCGGTGGCCGAACAGGTTTTTAAGACGCGCGTTTCCAAGGCGGGCACGTCACCCGTCTGATATACGTTTTTAACGAAATAAAAGCTCGATGTCTTACGAGTTATCGTTTTATGAATTTTGATATTATAAATAAATATAAGTGTGTATATACAGGGTGTTAGGCAGAACGTTGAACATACGCAAATGGTGGATGGGTGGGGCCATGTGCTACTTACTCAGCCCAAATTATTTGACCTTGGCCCCGTGGTTTTTTTATAATTTTCTTTTTTGTGTTTTTTCGAATTTCGCCACTTTCGTAACTTTAAAGGCGAATATTTTTATTTACAATGAGTAAAACAGACAACATTTTGTTTTGTTTTTATTTTGAATGTTATCAGATTCTCGTTTAATTATTGCTTCATGCAGATATAACCTACAAAATAAGTTATGGGTCCTCAAAGTTACAGAAACATGTATGAAAATACTTAAAACTTAATTTAAACTTTCATTAAAAAAAAACTAAACGTGATTGAGGACTTCCAATTCTAGCAAAACATCCCTAGTGTATGATCTTTCTAACGATATGTAATTTGTTTTGATTGAAAAAGAACTTTAACAGTTATTTAGTTTTTATGAAGTACTTACGTGAATTTTCACAAAACTCTACTTTTGCGGAAGGTGAAATGTTTTGCGAAATTTAATAATGATAAGTTGGTAAAAATTTAATTATCGATTGAAAAAAATAAATTCTTAAATTAAGTACCACCCCACCCATCCACCATTTGCGTATGTTCAACGTTCTGCCTAATAATTAAATGGTAATGAAACAATTAGGTTAAATTTTAAATATTTTTTCAATTAATAATTACAATAACTGTTCAAATTGACGCCCTTCGACTTCGATACAAAGGCGACATCTGCGCCTAATTTCGACAGTTGTTGTCCGCAGCCGCATCTCCTGCTTCATAACCTCGAACGCTGCATTAATGCGACTTATCAAGTCTTCACGGCTTTCCACTACTATGACGTAGACGAGCTCCTTTGCTCTTCCCCACACGTAAAAATCAAGGGGAGTCGGGAGATCGCGCAGGCCAGGGTATTAGTCCACCCCTGCCAATCCACGAATTAGGAAAACTGTTTTCCAAAAACTCGCGGACAATCAGAGTCCAGTGAGCTGGACAGCCATCGTGTTGAAAGACAATAGGCCTGTCTTCTTGGAATACTTCTTCCAACAACGGTGGTAAATCATTCATCAAAAACTCCTTGTTCCCATTGATGTGGTCGGGCAAATAATGAGGCCCTATTAGCCTATTGTCTATCACTCCTGCCCAGACATTTACACTGAATCGTCTTTGGAAACCCCTCTGTCTTTTTACTCGTGGATTTTGTTCTGAAGGTGCCCAATAGTGTAAATTGTGAAGATTCATAATTCCTTCTTTGTCAAATTTTGACTCGTCCGTCTACAGAATACTTTTTAAAAAGTTTACGTCGTCCACATCGGTATGCAGCAAATGGCGACAAAACTGGAGACGTCTTCCAAAATCATTGTCCTCAAGACCTGAAACAAGCCAAACACGTCTAAGAATAAGTAAATTCAATGCTAAATCTTTCCTTCTTCCGAGTTCAAACTCTACTATCATCAATTAAATTATCTAGAAGTTTTAAGTGACCTAACTGTTTAGCCATAAAAACCTAAGATAACATTCACAAAAGGGCGTAGAATTGCCATTATTCTGAAAATAAGTGATAAGCGCTGACAAAATTACCTGCACTGACTACGCTGCGCAAACCGGTTTCTAAGAAGAATGCGGCCGAATAGAGACAGAATTTTGAATTTTTTTTTTTTTTTTAAATGTAACACGATGCTTACCTTGCACTGGAGTGTAGTGAAAAGCATGCCTCCCATCGTTCCGGAAAACAGACCACACTTTCCATTTGCTTAGGCCAAGTCTGGCAGCTATCTGTCTAATGCTTGTAGTAGGATTCTGCTCAAACTCTCCAAGAATTTGTTCGTCAATGGCAACATTTAGTTCTCTTATGTTAACTCGAGGTTCTTGAAAGTTCAGGTTACCGGTTTGTCGTAAACGTCGGTAAGTACTCGCAAACGTCTGATGACTGGGTACTCTTCGGTTAGGATAGCGCTCTTGGTAAATCCTTCGCGCTTCACGTGAATTAGTATTAGCCATTTTTACTGCTCCGTATAATCAGCCCAGTTAACAAAAGGTGAGTTGTTTAGTCAACGACCACGTTGGGTTTAGTTTTCCTCTAAATTTGACAACACATAAGGCTAAAAAGGAAATAAAGTAATTACTTATTTTCCATCGATCGTTTCATTTTTACCAACTTATCATTATTAAATTTCGCAAAACATTTCACTTTCCGCAAAAGTAGAGTTTTGTGAAAATTCACGTAAGTACTTCATAAAAACTAAATAACTCTTAAAGTTCTTTTTCAATCAAAACAAATTACATATCGTTAGAAAGATCATACACTAGGGATGTTTTGCTAGAATTGGAAGTCCTCAATCACTTTTAGTTTTTTTTTAATAAATTAAGTTTTAAGTATTTTCATACATGTTTCTGTAACTTTGAAGACCCATAACTTATTTTGTAGGTTATATCTGCATGAAGCAATAATTAAACGAGAATCCGATAACATTCAAAATAAAAACAAAACAAAATGTTGTCTGTTTTACTCATTGTAAATAAAAATATTCGCCTTTAAAGTTACGAAAGTGGCGAAATTCGAAAAAACACAAAAAAGAAAATTATAAAAAAAACCACGGGGCCAAGGTCAAATAATTTGGGCTGAGTAAGTAGCACATGGCCCCACCCATCCACCGTTTGCGTATGTTCAACGTTCTGGTATAGTTGAATAGTTATATTAAGTTTTATTATGAGGTAAATATGTAAATAAATGTAGGAAAGTCACTTACACCACCCCCTTCCAGAGGCCGTCAAGGGCGATAAAAGTTTGTAAATCTAACATGATGTCCACTACGCGTTATTCACTCCTTTTGTACGTCAGGCTCGGGAACGGGTTCTTCACAATGGTCTGATAATATATGTGCCGGTTTCAACCTATCTATCGACACCGTGACATCCTTACCATTAAGTAATATTTGATATACTTTGTCACTACCTTATGTGGGCCGGTGTAAGCTGGAGTCAATGAACCTCGTGATGCATCTTCTCGAAGGAAAACAAAATCACAGATGCTAAGCTCCTTATAAATAAATACTTTTACTTATAAAGTGCCGGGAACGGTAGGCTCAAAAAGTTTGGCCTTGTATTTGCGGAACCTGAAGAAATGAAATGAAAAAGTTTCATTTACTATCAAAACTCGAGACGTGAATTTAAGTATTATTTAATGCCATTTATTAATTTTATTGAAAATCTATTGTAATATTTTTTAATACTGGCGCCTTGAGACATGCCTGGATTTTATTCGTCATTTTATGAGAATAGTTTCATCCCTGCCTAAGATATACGACTTGTATCTGAACATACTTCTATTCTACATCCACCATGTAAATATGTTCACCATAATAAGAACGTGCCTGGCGTATTTGGTATGTTTCCAAGGCAAACATTATTAATTCATTGAATTCTAGACAGGGGAACTCAATATTATTTGTATTGGCTGTAATGTTTTGAAAAAATGATCCCCAGCGATTCAAATTATACTGGGAAACTACATTCGCCAAATTATTTTCCAGTGGCATCCTTTCATATATTGTACTTAGAATTTAAGCAGCATCAGACCTATTATATAGGCGAACACCAAACATAATAATTAAACAAGCCGCAATTTGGAAATACTCAAACATATGAGGTACGGTTTTATTAAAATGGTCAAATCGTAATAGCCTGAAATCTCTTTTAAAATACCCATTTACAACCTCCACCACCCATCTGCATATTGTGACACATCTATTTCTGTTTGCCAGGGTGGTGGTTAACTGTTGTTCACCTTCCAAAAATGACTCGGGCATATATGCTTCATAATTGTAACTTTCTAATAAGCTGATACCATCTCTAAAACCTCTGTCTAGAATAAATGTGTCATTATCTTGGAAGTACTGTTTCGACGGCGCATTTTAATTTCTGAACAAAGACCACATTATTTCTGCGTCAGATTTAGTAGCTCTGATTGGGCCAAACCAATCCAAAATATATCCATCACATGTTACTACTAAAATTGGCTTTAACAAATTCTTATATTTGTGTAGGACGTGTGTGGCGTACCAGTCGATCGCAACTATTGGTCCAGTCGATCGTGGCAATTCAAAAAATATAAATACATAGTGTACGAACTAGGCTGTTCCATTTAAGATTTTAAAAAGTAAAGTAATTGGTAGATCGTACTGGGTGTCGTCAGTGAAAAGTAGATCTTGGGTCTCAACAAGCTGGCCACCCCTGGTGTAGGGATAATGTGTCTTTTTAAAACATATAATTATTACTTTTATTGATATAAATATATGTGCCATCACATATCACAATCACTTGGTTGTTATTGTGATCGTAGATACCATTTGGGATCATCAGATTATGTTCCATCAATGTTCCTCTTGTCATATAATTTATTCCTAAATAATAAGGAACAAAATCTTGACTGAGTATTTATCTTGTTGCATTCATTAACCCCACTAATGCGACACGAGGTTATAAAAGATGAAATTCGTAAATCAGAGTCACCTGACCGCATTTTTATCAAGACTGCAGCAAGCCCCACTACACCCCTGTGTTCATGCAACAGCCGTGGATTTTCTTCTTATAAAGTGATCAAACTTGATAACGCTGAATCCTATCAATACAAAGGTTACAATTTATACAGAGTAATCTATGCATGGTTTTCCATCATGTTTTCAAACGAAAGCACTAAGTACGTCTTAAATCCTTATCAAAAGGCACAAAATCGAAGTCCAAATAATACAAGCCACAGTAACAGTGTGACGGGTTCGGTGCTTGGGTCAATTAATAAGGCTGATTAGCTTGAGTATAGATTTATTAATTGTATAAGGGTAAATAAGAAACTGTAACAAACAAAAATTAAATTAAAAAAAAACAGATAGTAAGTTACTTAACTAATACATACAAATTATCCCTTGTCGGGCTTCTAGTTAAACTCTTGGATCGTCCAAAATACAGATTGCATTTAGTACATATGTTATATAATTTGTATCACAATATTACATTCTTTATCACAATCAATAAATTATTTTAAGATTATATAATAAAATTTATACGATTAATACTGTATATTAATTTTCATGTTGTGCATAGAAGAATTTCTTACGAACTGACATCCATAAAGAGTATAATTGATTAGTCAAAATTTTAAATTACGAAAGACGAATAATAAAATGAAATGATGTTGAATTTCAAAAACAAAAAGTTTGCATACTAAAACCTAGGAAAACAAACGGTGGCATGGCACACCGTTACAACAGTAAGTGATTCGTATCGGAGTCGAAGTTGTAAAGGTTTATCGAGAAATCAAAATCGCGCAGTTCACAACGCAGACGGGAGACTGCAAAATGTCAATTAGATCGCAGTCTGACATTCGTTTGACGTTACCGCTCCGTTTGATGCAAAAAAAAATTGCACTATGCGTAACTGGTTCAACTGTACATTCATTTTCCATATCATTCACACCATTAACATAAAAGCTTTAAAAATATTATTCTTAGTTGAGAAAATAAAATGAATTGTAATTGTTAATGTGTACTTTTTAAGACGAATGAATACATTTCTCGTAGTAGATGACAATCATTTTGCGGTCCGAATCGCTTTCTCGTATTTAACATAGAACTTTTTTAAAACTTTATCAGCATCCTTATTTTTTCCTGGTCTTATTTTAATACTTTATTGTGCGTTATAAAATACATAAAAAAACTATATTTTAAGATATATCACATCACCGGACGCGTTAGTTAATTTCTAGGTCAAAATTGGACATGATTCTTTGAAGGGGTAGCAGAAGAAGAGATGTAGAAACTGACTATAGATAGGGAAAATTGATGAGATACGCTCTGTAGTAAACAAACTCTGAGCATTCCACTGTGCTATTCTTATAGACGTGTGATCCATAAGATATATAAAATAAATAGGTAGGGGAATTCATATGTAAGTGATTGTTTATGTGATGTTAATATATTATCTTTCAAATTTGTCAAAAGAATTTATAAGGAGTTTCATTTTATTTATTTTAATGTATAACTTTAACAATTGTAGATATAAACATGTTTAAACATTGATCAGGTCAAATATTTTCTGAATTTGAAGTAGTAGTTTTAGGTCTTTTACTGAGCAAAATAGGGAAATCGTTATTGTGAAATAAATTAACAAATGGTGCAATTTTTTGTTTCATTTGGTTTTCTTCTATTTTTTGTTTCTATGGGATATTGGACAGAAATTGCTATATGTTTGCCGCTGCAATTTATACAGGTGGCTTCGTTATTATCTTAATTGCAATCTTAATGCGATTGGCCTTCACCACAGATTACTATGGACAATAGCGTTTGCTATTAAAGCGCACCTCTATTTGTTCTCTGGTAATATAGTGGTAATATTCAATGTGTTTTTACATCAATTATAGACATAACGCAAAACATCATAAGTGATTTCCTTCTTTTTTCATGTTTTTCAAGTTGCAGGTCGAATAACTCGATAAGCACTGGTGTTACTATACTTGCAACGATCAAAAACAAATAAACATTCAAAATAAAACAATACGTTACCAATTAGATGTTTTAAGATTTCAAACAACAATCAACTTATAAACCATAACTTGATCTATCATTATTTCTTTGTTTAAACATCCTCATCTACATTTTCAAAATCGTTTCTTATCAATAGCACGTCATCCAAAAAAGATGCGGGTGGCTCAATATTGTCTTGATACCTTGCCCAGGTTAAGAACTATACAACAGTCATGGCGTGAGTACAACTTGCGACAGTGCGCGTTCCTTCCTGACAGTTTCAACGATAGGAAAACAAGGATATTAGACACTGATGGGACCCCGTTTAAAAGTAAATACATGTTTGTGTTTTACACAACACTATAATCGATAAAGAAGGTATCGACCGAAATTTCACTCCTGTAACCCATTTAAGGTGGAATAGAGTAAATCAACCTACAAATGAAGCAATGGATATAGGAAATATTTACGTTGACTATTTTTCACACAATACATTGAATTACAACAATTAATTATTTAACTTTATCTACCCTCCCTTACATTAATAGCATAGCTATGACATTAAGTAAAATTTTCAGGCATATTTAAATAAAGAACTTATAAAACTTAACTTTATTAAAGTCGAGAAACAAAAATAAAATCAATTAATACTTACCGTCTTCATTCATTGCCTCGTTTATTTCTTTCCAACATTTGTCAGTCACCTTTCTATTACAATGCCTTTTATCCCTTTTGTCCCACAGAGGTTTCTTACTGAAGACTAAGGATATCAACACGTCACTAGCCATTTTAATATCTATCAAAATAAATATGCTTGCCGTAACTTGCGCGTGTTGTCGCAGTTGTTTATTAATTTTAAATGGCAGCGCCCAGCGCTGACCAGCGCGTATTGAAGCGTGTCGGAACTTGTCAGCACCGTTCAGTGCTTATCGGCGCGTCTTCATATATTTTCCTGCGCGGGTTACCAGCGCTGTTAAGCGCCGGTAAGCGCTTATAAGTTTCCAGCTTTCTTTCTGTATACGGCCTAAGTCAGGTTTTATGGCTATCTACAAATAAAATGACCGGAAATGGTACTTGATTTCGCACGAGAGGCGGATGTAACACTTTTTCTATATATTGTGAGAATATTTCTGTTTTCATCCAGCCATTATCACTTAATACTATACCCCAATCTGATGGTACCTTTGTTGCAATTTCACTTGGCAAGCGCTTGCATGAGAATATCACCATAGGTGGGGTGATTTCGTCATTAGCAGCAAAAGTAAACATCACTGTTAGTGAACTTTTAGCTGGGGCGTGGTCAACTTCATACACATTCTTTGCGCCCTTTGGCGCCAACACCAAACCTGTCTTTGTGCATAGAACAAAATTTGTTTCGTCCCCATTCAATACTCTTTTCGGATCTGATAGAATTTCAAACGAACTGTGATCTTTCAGATATACTTCAATTACTTGAAACCTCTTGTATCATTTTCTGGCACTGTAGCACTTGCTGCTGTTACAGCTTCAGGAGTTCATATAGCAATGTCCGGGTGTCGTTTTAAGAAAAGATGAAACCATTTATCTCCGGGTATGTTGTTTTTGAAAGGATTATATCGGCCTGTTTTTGTAATATATTTAGACACGCTTTTCAAAAGCCTTTGAAAATATCCTTTCATAGGGAACAGGCATTGCCACGAGATTTAGCCTCTTAAGAACATATTTGAACAAATGCGGGTAAACATTTCGTTGTTCATACCACCAGGTAAAAGGATCTTGAGTTCGCACCAGCAAAGGCTCTTGTAGGTAATTATCGACTTCGATGAAACTAGCAGCAGTGGAGTTTCCGGGCTTTAATAACGCAACTTCCTTATCGAATTTTTGCCATATCGAATTATAACTGGATGTTGCTGACGGCGCGGCTTGACACGACGATATTCTTGGAACAGGATCAGGCAGCTTTTGTGGCAGTGACACCCTGCCCTCATTTTCTTTTAAATTCTGTACAACTTTTTGATTTTTTTTTGTCATTATAACCTTTTCCTTTGAACCGCGGATCCAAAATGGTGACCTCAGCGTATATTACTGTAGACTATATTATTTAAGCGGCGGTTTAACTCCTGCTCCAATGTATGTAGGAGAGCAGTTATTTCCGGTATCGTACTCCCTTGATGCAAGTATTTTTTTAGATGGCTTGACATAATTTTAATAAAGGCATTACTTCTGAAAGCGTAACATTTTTCTCCGCACTGAGCTACTATGTTATTTAAAAAAAAAACTTTAAGATAGGTACTGCCGCTTCTATGAACTCAACATTATAATTTGACATTGAGAGATCACTACGTAAGATAGCGACAGTAGCTATCACGGCGTCCTTCCTGGATAATATCCTTGTAAGCATATCATAAGTAGAGTTCCACCTTGTTGGAACATCTTGTTTTAATTTTAGTTGGTTTAATCCTTACTGTGATTGCATTTCGACTAGTTTGGTTTGGGCATGTGATCTTCTTTTAAACTACTCTACAATAAACTTCACTTTTATTGAAGTCGGTCTTAAATGCACTTACTAAAGCTGCTTGAACGCGAAGATTTATTATTTGTGCAAGACATGCAATTTGACGCCAATTACCTTGTCTTATTGCAGCCGTTATATTTGAGGCATTTGCCGTCACTTTATTTTCCATTCTTTGCATATATGTTTTAAAAACTCGCACAGATTTGCGCTTGTATGGCGGTCGGAATATTCTATGCAACCCAACATAGCGGAATCCATTTTCATATTCAGTAATAAAATGGGCCACGACGGCCACGAAACTCTCGTTCGTAAGTGAAGTTAATGTGTCACATCTGACAGAATCAAATATTTTCATATACAATTTCGGTAATAAACTTTCTGAATGAGTTTGTCTTGTGGGCAAAGTATCCAGTATCCAGGGTTTAACATTGATACAAACTTCCGAAACTCTGGGTCATTGACAATTCTCAAAGGATGCTACTCTTAAGCTATCATCCGCAGAGGCTGCTCGTCTAGTTTCTGAGACACACGCAAATTGACAGGCTTTGTACTTCTGGTATAATCGGCTATTGACCGTTCTTTATGGCTATTGTTCCCTGGAGGTGGAGGAATAGGAAGAGCTGGAAGTGGAGGCAGAAGGATATAATTATTATGATCTTCAATAATAGGATTTTGCTGTCTTTCAGGGAGAAGCAATATTGTAGGATGTTTTGTTCACTAGGTATACTAAGTTCTTGGGCACAGTATGTACGCTTTGCTCTTTTCGGATCGACTATTGTGTGACAAGTTATAATTATTGTGTAACAAGTTATAAACGTACAAACAATCGGTGCAAAGTTTTTCTTTTTTATAAGATCGCTACAGAGGTCTGATCACAACTTATTACCTAATACACACATTGATTTATTCTGACAAATTAATTACAAACTTATTGCGGAGAAACAGGAGCGGAGCAAGATGTTAAAAAAGCCATATTCACATGAAGAGACAAAAATTGACGTTCCGAATATCTTCAAAATACACTAGTTTCGTAAGCTTGAGTTTCCTGTGTTTTCTATATTTTGTCAGTAAACTTTGATGTTGTACTCTCCAGTAGCCCTGACATGCTATCAGTAGTATGTTTTATTTGGTATATACCCAAAGAAAGCAAAACTAAATCTTGGATATGTTATGATAGTATTAACTTACTCTGTGTGTTGCATGGTGCATTTTATATACAAGACGAAACAACCAGGATAAGTCGAGGAAAGTTATTTAACCTAGGAAGATTGCTAGAAAATGTGCTCTGATTCTGTTCAAATTATTTGTTTCTACATAAAATATTTGATTTCTCTAGAAAAATTAAATGTGACGGCCTGCAAAGTGAAAAAACTTAAGTATACCGGAACTTGTTTAATACTCACAGAATGAGCAAATTGATCTTGCCTTACATTAAGTAGGGGACCAACATCTCTTCTTATAATGTTGGCAATTCTTTCCTCCAATGGAGTAAGAGTTAGTGCATTACTTGGGCCACCACCCGTAGCACTATGACTGCTATTAATTTGCACCAGTTTAGCTCTTACTCTGCATTTTCGGTGATTCCATACCTGAAAACAATAAATTTTGTTGGTATTTATTTCAGTAATACGAATAATATGTGTTTCATTACCTTAAACACGTAACTAACTAATCACTCTCATTTAAATAAGGAAAATAATTGTATCATGCTATATCTACTAAGTTAGTTGGGATGACATTTAAAAACTAGAGAACACTAACATGTAAATATTTTGATTTTATTTTACATTGATTTGGTAAAACCAACTCTAATTTTAATTTAATCCTAGCTTACCTTCGCCCATTCTTTGCCAGTCCTTGCGGGTTCCAAAGGATTGAGCAATTCGGCACATTCACGCCACAGCCGATCCGCCAAAGCTCGAGCCTCCTTGAACCTCACCCGTCCAAGGGCGAGGTCACGATGTCTTTCTACAAACTCGAGAAGAGCTTCGAGCTGACGGACCGTTGTCTATTTGTGATTGCTTGCCATTTCTACACCAAAAATTATTTTGATACAACTTACATACAAGTTTCTTTTCTAGATTAAATTATTGAGTTTGAACAAAGAAAGTTCTCACTCAGTTTACTTTCACGACGAGCACACACAACACAAATGAGGATTAAGTTTTTAATCCAAAAAACTACGTTTCAGTCACGACCACTTAAAATAACTTTCTAAAGTACTTTTATTTTCCACTTGAGTCAAATTCTTGATATTCCCGCTATTAACATTCCCCTAGATCTGTCAAATTTAGTGCTGACGATGCTATAAACGGTCAATCGATTATCGATTCGATCATTCTCGGGCTCAACAAGACGAATATTGGACACACTTTTCTGATTAGGTTCATAGTCAGTTCTTTTTGGCCACTCTTTTTGGATATAGTGTTTGCCTCGAGCTCTACTATCCCATTTGCAAATAAAACAGCAAAATTTTGTGTAACCAGCTCGCATGCCTAGTAACATCCCAACTACTTTTAAATCTTCCAAGAATGTTCTGCATACTGTATTTTTTGTAGTAGATTTTCATAGGTTTCTTTGACATGCACTCCATGCGCTAGAGGTACAGATGGAAATTCGTTACCATTATGCAACAAAACCGCCTTCAAACTTATTTTCGATGAATCAATGAATAGTCTCCACTGATCAGGTGAATAGGTAGAAGACATTTTTTTCATAAGCTCATGTACATCTTTGCAAAAGACTAGATCGTTTTCCTTTTCAAAGAAATCCACAACACTACTATATCGTTTTCGATAACTACAGATTCTTGTCTCCGGATGTAATAAATTCTATTGATTTAGTCTAGAAGCTAAAAGTTCTGATTTCTCTTTTGGTAAATCAAGGTCACGAATCAGATCATTTAGTTCACTTTGAGTTATCAGATGTGGCTCTGTTGTTGACCTTGTTGGTGGCTCATAGTCATCGTCGTCAAAATCACCGTGATCGGAAGCACAAACATCAACATGACTTTTTAAGCCACGACTACCACATGAAGTTGACGGTTCGTCAGAAGTTGAGGTCGTTGGAGTTTGTAGGGTATCCGGTTTTGACATAGACGATACATCGGGGTACTTTATAATATTTTTAAACTTCGACTTCATTCCAGCTTCCATTCACATCAGCTGACGTAGTTATTAATCAGAATGTGGGTAGTTTAATTCAGAACACCTATAGGAGGAATAAATAACAGTTAGTTGCGATATGCGATAAGTTAATGAGAAGAAAACAATTTTTAAAGTGGTCAACTGGTCGTTTTTTGGTAATTAAAAAAAAAAAAAACATATTTTCGTAATCGGACCTGAGGAATTTATTTCAGTATTTTTCTAAGGATATACTTACTAATAGGAACCAAAATATATAAGTTTTATTTCATAGCAAAAACCATTGTCGTGTTACCAAAGCGTTGATTCCAACAATACTTATTAAATCGAAAAACATTGTAGACAGTAAGTTCACTACCTTGTTTATTTTGGGAACATAGGATACAAGAGTAACTTCTTTTTGAAACTCAAAAGTTGTCTAGTCCTAGACTTCAAAGCTTTGAATTCCTTAGGGATTTCAAGTCTATTTGCTTTCATATTACCAACTATCTCGCAATAACTTTTTAGCCTGAAGTAGGCTTGTAAAATAATTATCCATAGATAAATTACAGCCCAAATCATGAAGTGGATTACAACGTCGTATCTCTATAGACAACGTCGTTAACCTTATTGGGCTTACGAAACGGACCTTTCGGTTGTGCTTCAATATATATCTCAGAGTTATACACATACGGAAATTTTGTATCATTATAATCTTAATTCCGAACATGTGTAGTTTATTCGGTATGTAAATTACGAAGCCGCAACGTCCTCGAAAACCTACAAGTTGTTCGTCTAGGGTCAAAGAATCGCTAGGAACATAGTTGTTAAGACAATTGTTGGTAACTAGCTCTACAACTTGTCGAATCTGTGCCATTTTATCAAATTCTCGGCCCTGTTCTCTGTCAGTAATGTCGTCGAATTTTAGGGCACGTATCAAGAACCGGAATCTATTTATTGACATTGTGGCATATAAAATTTCTAATTCAGTACCCGGAGAGTTATCCCAAAAGTCCTTTATGTTAAGCCGCCCACTTCGTGATACTCCCAAGATGTATAATATGTCCAGAAATGCTCTCATTTCTACTCTATTAGTGGGTATAGCATCCCTATTTCGTTGAAAATTATCTTTTATTTTATCTATATATAAATTTGTACATCTTACTAAGATATCTTGCGTAAAAAATTATTCAAAACAGGATAATGCATACTAAGCATTCCTAGCTGCATCTCCTTTTAGACCTGGTGGTCTAATCCTAATGTTTTGAGCTCGAGTTCGCGTTGCTGATGGTATATTTTTATGCCAAACAGTTCCGTTCTTCGATTTTTAGACTGAACCGAGCCTGCCGGATGCTAATTGCGAAAGTGGAGTGTCATCTAAATTAGATGTTTCGTCAGAATCACTCAACCTTTTCTCTTTTTTTTTCCTAGAGTTCATACTTACGAAGTAGGGACTGTTAGTCTGGTTCTGGCTCAAGTTCAGCATCTTCACTCTCAATCATATCTTCATCATCAATATCTAGCTCATGTAGCGAATCATCCATGACATAATCGGTTCTAAATCTGTAAAAACAAATAATGATAAATATTTTTCAATTTTTAAATAACAATTATTTAGTAAATATACAAATATATATATGCGTATAATAACTGAAAAACATTATAAAAGCATTTTAAATTGATAATACACTAAAAGTTACTTAACTGGTTTAGTTACACCAATGCACGCGCAGACTACTTTAGTACCCCTCGTTTTCACCTAGGTATAATACATGTATTATATAAATTTTATCCAAAGATGATGTTTCTCAAATACATATACAAAACATGTTGTATACAAAAACCATATACACGTATAAAACTTGTCGTCAGTATACAAAACTGGTATTAAACTTTTTGGTTGAAAACTTGTTGTTGCCTACATGTATGATAATCTCATGTTTTGTCGTCGATAAACTTGTAGAGTTTGAGACAAGTTCAGTTCGTAATTTTATATTTTCGATTTAAAATAAATAAAAAATTGCGGCAATGGATAGAGGAGATGCTGAAGAACTTTACTTCATGTGTGCAGTATACTTGTATATGCAAACTGAAGCAAATTCAAGGAAAAAACGCAAGTATTGATCGCGATCATTTTTGAGAAGAAGAGATAAAGAAGGGGCCTACCGTTCTATATTAAACGATTTAAGAATAGAAGATCAAAGTGGATTTAGAAATTTCGTTAGATTGACTCCAGTTAATTTTGAGAATTTGCTACAGAAAGTTGCACCATACATTTATAAACAGAATACACATTCTCGAGATGCCATCTCTCCAGCAGAGCAATTAGCTGTTTGTTTGAGATATCTACCGGAGATTCATATTCTTCTTTAATGTACTTGCATCGGATATCGAAGACAAAGATCAGCCAATGCATTCCTGAAGTTTGCGAAGCAATTATTAAAGTTTTGAAAGTATATCTTAAGGTAAGCCGATAGATGGAGTGCATTTAAAATATGCCTTTCTATTGCCAATACTTAATTCATGTTTTTATGATTAAAAAAAATAATGATAAAATTATAAATTCAATTCTCCTTGAAAACTATTTATTAAGTACAATTAATACATTGCCGGAATCTCATGTGTATCACTTATTTCTTCAGTCTTTGAATTCAGTACTAAATTTGCAGCAACTTCTATATCCTGATTTAATGCAGTCAAAACTGCTGACTGCTGTGAAGAAACATTCGAGTCACATTTGATTTCATTCAGTTTAGTGAAATATATTAAATCTTGTATTTGTTTCTTCAACTCCAAAATATTCCTTTTGTCAGTAACACCTCGTAGTTCAGAAGCAACATATTCGCCGAACACATCAAACTCATCTTTGGCAGGGCGTTTAATAATATTGTCACGAGCCTCCTTTAATATAGACAGCGCTTCTTTTTGTCTATCACCTGATGGGTTGTCTTTTGAAACCCTTCCTTTCACTGATAGTCGACACATCCGATACTCCTGATACACTAGGTATATCATGATCTTCTATGGGAAGTGAATTGAATAAGTTTGACCCTGCGTCCTCATTATATTCCTGAAATTTCTTTATTATTTTTACTATATTGCTATCTTTTTTCAGATACCAGAAACTACACAAGAATGGTTAAAAATAAGCAAAGAATTTAAAATTAAATGGAACTACCCTCATTGTATAGGATCTTTAGATGGCAAACATGTCCAGATAATAAAGTGGCAGTGAATATTATAATTATAAAAAGACATACAGCATAGTATTAATGGCGTTAGTGAATGCAAACTATAATTTCATTTATGTCAATGTTCGTGTACAAGGAAGGATATCAGATGGAGGAGTTTTCAAAAACTGTTCACTTTAGAAAGCTCTCAAAGAACAGAGATTAAATATACCAGAACCAAGACCATTGCCTGGTAAAACAGAAAATTCGCCTTTTGTAATTCTTCACAATGCTCTAATTCATGTACAACTACTGCCTCCCTACAGTAGTTGTACCAATCGGCGTTTGTTGCCTGAGATAAAACTATATCTCTATAGTGACTAGTTGCCCGTCTTACTAATTCGTATGTATAATCGGAACTATACATGTACATAACATGAAACATGATTGGTAATGGCAAATGCACTTTCTCAAACCATGTTCCAATAGCACGGCTATAAAATTTGCTGCGGCATTTGCCTTTTCTGCAACGAAATTGGCCCACCTGGGCTGCACTCTTTTCTGCCATTTCATGTGCGTAGCTAATACACAGTGGCGTGCACACCATGTATGCAAATAAGCACTGCATACACTACCCTGTCCATAAAAAATCCAACTAAACCTACATTGTTTAATTATTACCTAAATATTCATACATTAGCTCAATAGGAATGTTTACAGAGAGTGATTTGGTGTAACTAGTAAAAGTGTCATCTATCAAAAATAGACAGAACTACTATAACGTTCTGGTTAGCGTTATATTTTTAATCGACCGCTACGCTGACGTAGCCACCACGGATGCGGCCGAAAGCTGCATTTTTACAGCTTATTCGCTATACAAACACGACAGGTTAAAACTCGTGTTGTACGCAGTAGTAATTTGTATGTGTGTGTAAATTCATGCATGTTTACGGTTTTGAGACAACCTGATTACGTTAAAAAGTCATCAAAAGAGTAGTGTTTGCGTAAAGGGACTATTTAATTTGGCTGCTGTATCGTTTAAACATTTTATTTTCCATTTTGTTTTGAATACTTTTCTGAGCGCTAGTGATTGTTTTAATTCATTAATCAATCTATTTACCCAGTGTTTTTGTTTCCCTGAATTGTGGAAAATAATAACTGAGCTGCTCATTCTGCTCTGTGCTGATGATAAATTAAATACGCATGCATTTGCGTTGTCCTTTGAGGAAAAATTTTAAATCGCAGGAAAAGGTGTGTGCCCAGGTTAGATTTAAACTAAAAAAAATGTAATATCACTCGTTCTTTAATAAAAAGTATTAAGATAGTTTTAATTGGCCAGCATTCAATAAATAGGTACCTACATATAATTAACAACCATATTTCCTGAATATATTTCACAAATTAGCAAATCGTACC